CCAACTTATCAACCCAAAAGCAACTACAAAAATGCCTTTCAGTCGAAGGATAGCCAGCATACCTTACATTCATAATGCTTAGCATCGTATCCGATCCATTGCATCACGCTACGACACGAAAGTTGTCTTTTCCAGTAGATTCAAATTGGCAAGCATGTGCAACATGATCAACCGACAAGAAGCCAAGCCGGCTTGCGGAAAAAAGCACGCCACCCTTTTCCGGACCTGCTGCACAGAAAATGTTTACTCCATCCCTCTCAAATGCGGTGCCGAGTACATAGGACAAACCGGCCGATGTATCAATGACCGCCTGAGAGAGCACGAAAACGAGGCAACTTCTAGAACCGACAATCCCATTCATCCGATTGCGGTTCACGCGAACGAATGCTTTGGATGCGTGCCTGACTTCGCAGGAATCAAGACTAGAGGGGGACACCGCAATCGCCACGGACGTGAAATCATTGAATCTTTTCTCATCCAGAACGCAGAAAACAATGTTTCATCGGCATCAGTAACCTTATCAAGACGGGAATTAGAATTCCTCAGGCCTGAACTTGGAAAATATCGCAACTCCCCGTAATCACACAACTTCCCGGTAGTTCCGCCCTTACCTCATGGTTCCCCCTTTTCCTTCTCCTATCACCCCTTCCATCTCCCAGTTTCCCTTCTCCTTTATCGCCTTTCCATCTCCCAAGTTTCCTTTCTGTCCCCCATATCACCTTTTCCATCTCCCAGTAAGCCTTCCCCCTTATCGACCTATCTTGTCGGGGGTCTCGCTCAGGGTGCAATCTCTTTGCCCAAATAAACGTCGTTGCTAACTGAAAGAAAGTGGTTGTCCTGTGCTTGTTCTCTGTGTTTTATTCTTTCAATTTTATGTATACATGTTCAACCCACTCGCCTTCATCAGTCCATGACTCCGAGACATGTAAAAAATTAGTGGTTACATATTCAACATGGACTAAGCAAAGTGATGTAACTCGCCCTGCAGAGAAAGAGAATTCATTTTTATTGCGACCCAAGCATTTTTGTGATCTGATAAAATTGTCGTTACCCTTATTATAATAAATCTTTGTATTGATTTTAAGTGTTGTGAGAAATGGGCATACTTTTAGGCTGGTTATGTATCTTCATCTGTTGGAATACATTTTGTGTAAGTTGTAAGCCTGGAAATTCACAGGTAAAAAAATGATGTGCAGTGGGCCGGGTTAAATATAATTTAAGCATTATCTAATTGATCCTAAAGAAATAACCTATTGTCCTCTTGTATAGGAATTTATGTTGCAATACTGTTTGTTGCTATTGGCATGACATCCAACAAACCATGTCATTCATACAAGTTGGATATGCTAAATCTGAACATGAGTTTATGTTTCATGGATTTCTTCAGGGACGATTTGGAAGGGACAATTGAAGCGGAGGTTTTTTTTTTTTTTTTTTTTTTTGCATTCATATAAATTGATGCTCTCAAGATATATACATAATGGCAGAAAGAGGTCAATATGTAGTACATATATACTATTTTTAAATCAGTTTGGAAAACGATTTTACCCCCAATGCTGCGACACCAAACATCTAAATAGTGCACGAATCTCGGTCAAGAGACATCTCTCTTTTACTGTCTGATTTGGAAAGCATATCACATTATACATAATAGGCATTTCACTTTGATTATATTGGATCCTTAAATTATTTATGTGTGCGACTGGATATTTAAAATTGTGTTTGTTATTGAAATTCGGGGGATTCAACAGTTTGTTCAAGGAAGAAGGTTTGAAACAAGTCAAGTGAGTTTTGTTGGTTTTAGTGGAGCACCCTTTTGTTTTGAGAGCACAGGAAGTGAATCTTTAAAATGTGAGTTGCTTGATGCAGTGCATGTCAGTCATGTGAAATTTAAATTATACCTTGGTGTCAGCATGTTGCTTTGAAGTTTTGTGGCTTTATCATTTTATTTTATGCTGGTATGTCAAGGACACTGCATGGTGGGGTAGCAAGTGCTGTGAAATTTCCACTTTCAAATGATTGTGAATCTTCAAATTGCAGTTTTCAATTTCTAGGTCACAAAATGTGAAACAGGTTGGAGTATACTTATGGTCGAGGCTACATCCACGCGCGGGGACGTAGCCAAGTCGGGAGGAGATAAGGCTCCATCCACGCAAAAGGTCACGTGACTTATAAAATAAGGAGATAATTTGTTTTTATGTACATATTACGCTTTCTTATAAGTAAATATAGGATATAAAAATGAAGAGGTTATATTTCATTATTGTTTTAAGGTTAATATGTCACGTGACCTAACAAAAATGGATTACTGTTTTCTAAGACTAATAGCAAATATAATGCATCATGAAAATAGTACCAATTGAGACGTTGCCTCGTCTTTTTCTACCTTCTGGTGTGTCCACTTTTCTGCCCCAGTCTCAGGTTTACAATCATGTTCAATATATATCTTTATATTTATGTTGTCCAGGAGTCACACACACGTATGGGCGGCGTGCGTGCCATTCGTGCGTGCGTGCGGTGCGGGTATGGCCTCCGGGGCCTTCGCCCATGTGCGCATCGCTGCTGAGGCGAGGCGGAGAGGCTTTGTCGTGTGTGTGGTTGGCTTGGTTCGAAGCCTTTTAATGTGAGCTTATGTGTATCGAAGGGGACAAGTATGTGCCCACCACTTCGTACGTTCTTGACTTGCGCGTACGCTTGCAATCACAGAGATTGTGAGAAAAGGGAAAACATGCACTAGTCCCATTAATAACAAACATACTGAGAGCATTCAATCGAGAAAACTGGGTAAAAGATTCCAGAAACAGTTTATTCCATGACAAATAAAACAGTAGCCGATGCACAGATGCCACTCGTCCACGAGATCACCGATGAACACGAAGCCCTGCTTGCGGCAGAACTCCTGCAGGAGCCAGTTCACGTCTCTGTGCCGATCATTCAACGCCTGGATCTCGGCAATCTGACTACGCTGACACTCCATCGAAGAGAACCTGTTCCCCCGCCTCGGAAGGACGGAAGAAAAGGCGATCTGCATCGTCGATTGCGTTCCAAGATCTGAGCGGCCAGCCGACGATACTTGTCAACGTACGCGCTGGCACAAACGCTGGTGTTGTTTGTGCCAAAATCGAGCAGGGCGTTAGACACCTTGGAAAACAAAGCCTCGATCCTAATGCCACTAAACGCCCGCACTTTGACAGCCACCCGGTCATTCGATGGGAAATACTAGGACAAGTATTTCACCGTCGAACCCCCGGCAACCAAAACTTGAGGCAGATCAGAAGCGCGACCGTGCTAATACTCAAACGGCCAAACTCCTTCTCCGAGAAAACAAAGAAAATAAAAACGCTTCAGAGAAAGTCAACACCGCTTGCGGAAGACCAGGCAGGCACAGTAGACAGTAGTCCGCGCACGGCAAAATCGCAAGGTGCAATGGCCGCCGAGCAAATGGAAAAACATTGGGAGGCTAGACCGGAAGTTGATCGTAGTGCGCCGGAAGTGACGTATTGCGTGGATGGAGCCTTATCTCCTCCCGACGTGGCTACGTCCCCGCGCGTGGATGTAGACACTCCCTATACTTATACATGACCAGTTGTTGGATGACATAACAGTCAACATAGGCATAAAAACTGCTTTATCATCCCTTTAATAATGAAGTTGAAGCTTTTAGTATATTGGTTATAATTAGATACTGGTTGTTTTTCTCATAATAATAAAATATTTTAGGGGTCTATGAATATTTTAGGTGTAATTACCTAGGTCTCCTGGGCCCGTTTGCTCGAAGCACTAACCGCGGCTAAAGTTAGCCGCAGTACCTAGGAGAGGGATTTTTAGATCACGTGACTGGGCTCGGTAGGGATGCGGGGAAGCATGGCGGTGCCCCAGTGAGTGAGCGCCGCTCGCTTTGGAAATAATATGTCGTTGCGGTTGCAATATCGGGCGCGTTAGTCAGCAACGAATGGTGCAGGAGGCTTTCACTTTGCCTTACCCCACTTAAACCGCAAAGCATGGGCAATGACATCGCCGCATTTTTTAGATAGTGTTTCGATTCTGGGCACTCCTAAGCCTAAATGAACGCGATAATTGTCGGCATGGCAACGTCTTTGGAAAGCGGATTGTTGATAGCACACAAAAGCAGACGGCGTCCCAAGAGACCTTTTTTCTAAATTATCCAAGCACCGACGTGCATGCTGCGACTGTAGTTGCACGCGTCGCGCGTGCTGGCGTCTGCAGTAGTAACCGTTCTAAAGCAAAAAGTATAAAACAAATTTTGCCTTGCACGCGCGTTCGTTAAAGCCTTATTATGATTTTTTACTTCAAATCTTTTATAAAAGGAAGGCCAGCGCGCGTGAACCGTAGAATTACATTTTCAGCGTTCTCCTCGCGATGCTTGGATAATTTAGAAAAAAGTCAGTCGGGACGCTGTCTGCTTTTGTGTGCTATCAACAATCCACTTTCCAAAGACGTTGTCATGCCGACAATTATCGCGTTCATTTAGGCTTAGGAATGCCCAAAATCGAAACACTATCTAAAAAATGCGGCGATGCCATTGCCCATGCTTTGCGGTTTAAGTGAGGTAAGGCAAAGCGAAAGCCTCCTGCATTATTCGTTGCTGACTAACGCGTCCGATATTGCAGCTACAACGACATATTAGTTCCAAAGCGACCGGCGCTCACCCACTGGGGCACCGCCATGTTTCCCCGCATCCCCACCGAGCCAGTCACGTGACCTCAAAATCCCTCTCCTAGGTACTGCGGCTAACTTTAGTCGCGGTTAGCACTTCGAGCAAACGGGCCCTGGTCTTACTTTTGTATTAATTACTTAATTATTCCCATTGCAATTAATTCCTTAGTTCACATGCTAAAAAAATTGTGCTTTTTTGTTGTTCTTTTTGGGTCTTTTTACATAACAAACATATCCACTTTTACGCATCATGGCTGCTTTCTGTGTACTTGCGGCTCACTGTTGCAAGAGAGAACTGAGGCATTGCACATCTTTTTTTCCAGGATTCCAGTGGTCATGCCAGCTGGTGTTTCGCAGCAAGCTGACGATGCACACCGCTTTTGACCGGAAAGACAACACGGAGCCTGCAGCCGTCACTGCCCTGGCGGTCTCCAAGTGGGTTGCTCACTCTTTAGCACCAGGATATTGATGGCATCAAGATATGAACGGTGTGATAGGCCTGTTTCTTGTGACTGCATGATAATATGCTGGACTAAGTGTTGGCACGCTAATGTAAATGATTTGATTTTCCTGAACTGCCTGAACTGGTAGTTTATGCAGTTTACATATTAATTCAATTGAAAGAGGCTGCCACTGGCCTTTTCTTTTTATTGCTGCATAATTGCTGAATTTGTCTAAACTCTGTCTGATCTGGTTCAGAGGATTTCCAAAATTTAATGGTTCTTGAAGGGGTGCAAAGATCATGGGTTGGAATGCTTTTCAATTGACACCGGTACTAGTGCAGCCCAAGTGTATACACCTTCGCCAATGCCATTGACCCAGAAGTCCCAAACTCTAACGAATGTCCAGAGCTTGGCGAGTGCCCCGTGCTATATGCCAAGGGGCTCAGTTGTAGTGCGCCACACTTCAGTACTGGTAGATGTGAAGCCTTGTAGCTTTTAGAGCTTTTAGAGTGTCTCATTGGTGCTTGCTGGCTGCACCTTGCTAGAGTGGCAACATCCTTTGGGAGGCAGGGATAGGATTTCTGTGCCAAACTGTGCCAGAGTGCTTACCCCACTACATCCTTCTACATTTTGCCAAAGTGTGATGAATTTGTGTCAGCATTGTGCCAAAACATAATTTCCCTTTATTAAGCTTATGCAAATTTTCAAAACTTATGTTTATTGCCTCAAATAGTGTACTACTTGGTTTTATCCCTGTTTTGAACACTAACAGTACTTGTAAGGGGAAGTATTGCATTATTCCTCGTGTGCATGTTTGTGGTCTGTTCTGGCAGGTTAGTTAACTTTGTTGAGTGTGTTTCTCACCACACACTGATGCACTGCAGTACAGTGAAAACAATGGAGTAGAAATCGCAATGTTGCGTATTTTGCTTTGCCGCAGCACACCTGCATGCTAAGGAGAAAGCACTCCTTCAAAACATGGTGCTTAACATGCGTATTAAAAAAATAAATAAAGGGACTTGGTGAGTGCTGAGGTACCAAACGCTTCCTTGCAATAAAATTTTTTGGATAAATATGTGGCTAATACGTATAATAGACTCAGATAGTCTGACGACATTTTTGTTCAAATTTGAGATAAAAATGTGTGGGTATAGCCAGGAGATCTATAAATGGAGTGCTCTGTAGTTTTACTTTTTTATGTCAACTCTCGTTTAGTTTCCAATTTCATGTCCATGAAGTGACACAGTGATCAGAATCAATTAAAATTAAATGAGTGGATCTAGTGGGTGGAAACTTGAGAATACCGTTAATGAGTTTGGCTGGTTTGTTTTTTAGAAGGTGTACTTATTGTTCTTAGGCCAGTTTTTTATTATGAAGTTCTAAGTATAAAATTATATTAATGTTTATAATCAGATGACAAGAACTTTGTTTTTACCTGAATTAAGAATTGCAGTTTTATTACAACCTTTAGAACTTCACTGAAACAAAAACATGAATTTGCGTGCTTGGTATTAATGTGTTCTGACATTTTTATGAAATATGCTATTTTGGTTACCTTTCACCCTGTACCTGAAATAATCATTCAAAGCAGTTTGTTCTGTCCTTCATCAATGAGCACATTGTTGACACCCCTGGTGCTTCCACATGCGACTGAACAACTAGTTCTACATTCGAGGGAATCAAACCTGCATGCAACCGGTGCTAACAGCAAGTTGCACAGAATGGTCAAGACAAAAGAGACAATGTATTTTAGTTGCACAGGCTAATACATTAATCTGAACATAGAATATTTGCAGTGTTATGATTGAAAATAGAGCATATTGCTTACGCTCCAGAAGTTCTTTTTGCTGCTTCAAAATTGATTTTGGCCCCTCTAGAAGGTGCTCCTAAATGAGTCGGACAAATCGCATCGCTGGGGAGGGCAAACACTACCTTTTCGGCCGTGGCCACCATTTTGCCTTTTGCGATGCGTCCACCTCGTATATGTGAGACCGGTGGATCGGCTTGTACCCACGAAAACGCAGCATTAGGAAGTACCCATTGAGGTAGCGATAAATTATTCAAAGTAGAGACTTCCTCGACTCAGTAACGCAAAAAAGCGTCGGTAATGCGGTCATCCGTTCAAAGTTATCGCATTATCACTAGACACCATGCCGAAATCAAGTGCATATTTGGAGGAACGCGTAACGTCGCATGTCTTGCTACTCGTATCATTTCACGAGCGGTAATGCTCAATAACTGCGTAAGCAGCTCATGAGTGGCTGCATACGAGTGGGAGGCAAGATGGCAGCTCTGCTAGCGGACGACAGAGTTGTCTCCACTCTGGAAGAGCTGCCACCCCAGCAGCGCTTCATCTTGTCGATGACTGGCTTTATCTGGATAACGGGGCAGGGCCTTCGATGCACCGTCTAGTAGGAGACGTGTACGAGGAGCCAGTGGGACCGGCCCACACCCGCGAGGCATCGCCAGTGCCTGGAGGACAGAGACGACCCGGTGCGGGTACCTCGTGCGCAGGGACCACAAGACGGTGTACGTGGGGGACGCCCGTGGCCGGGTGTTCACCTGGAGCGTGACGGAGCACCCAGGGCGGGCCATGGCCGACCACTGGGTGCGGGACGAAGGGGGCGACAGCTGCCTGGCCTGCGGTGTGCGCTTCTCCTTCGCTGAACGCAGGCACCACTGCCGCAACTGCGGACAGCTCTTCTGCTCCAGGTGACGGATCCTCACTCTTTGTCTCGGTCGAAGACCTCCCGACCACTTGACGGTAGAGTGAGAGAGTACCATGTTTTACAGCTCATAGGTCGCACCCCCCCTATCGGTATTTTCGGCGACGAATCGAGCGGGAAATATAATCTCTGTGGCAAATTTCCGCGGTTAAGGTTCATACTTAGAGAAGAAAACTGCATATATAAGTCGCACAGTTGTACAAGATGCACCGAAGGACATTTGGGGGTAAAAACACAACTTGCACACCGAGAAATTAGGTATTTCTCTTAGAACGGAGTGTTTAGCCCAAACCTTGAGCTCTAAATGACTACTCTGCTTGAGAAAATCAGTGTGAAAAATCATCAACAAGTGTGTCAAATAAACATGGTTAAAAATGCACACAAAAAGACAAGGACTGAGAAGAGAAACACATAGACAACAGACAAGTGCACACTCGCAACTCATATGTATTTGAAGGAAGATGAAAAGAAAGAACTACAACCGGCAGAATCAGCTCGAGCGAAGGCCACACAGTAACTGGGGCACACGAGCTCAAGAGGCACTGAAATTCAGCCATGCGATAAGGATTTTAAGAAAGCCATTCCCTTCTTTGTTAAAGACACTGACGGCTGACTGACAGATTGCTCGCCCAAACTATGGATGTTAATTGCTTCAAAGATTTCCCTGGCGTGTTTGTCATGATATTTGCCTGTTAGCTTGGTTTTTTCTAAGGATGGTGTGCATGAGCAGGCTTGACAGTGCAGGGATAGGTGATTTTAGAGAGAGATTGTGTTCTTGTAGCCAGTCATTAACGCACCGTCCCGTCTCTCCTACTTAGCGTGTACTGCATGAAAGCAGGATAGTGTAGATGACATTTAAGGAACAGGGAACATAAGAGTGGACAGGACTTTTATGGCAAATATGTTTTTTTAATTTTCTGCCTTGGGTTGGACCTTATCACAAATTTGACCTGTTTTTGGGGGGGGGGGCTGACATCACTAAGGGGACACCATACCTGGTAGCAACTTTTTCAAATAGTACAAACAGATGAAATGTAAAACTGTATACGAGTTAAGATTCAGAAGTTTTGAGACTGGGTCCCAAGTCCAGAAATTGTTTGACCTATAAAGTCGAAAATAGTTGGGAGCCATTCCACTCTGAAGGTGGATGACCAGCGAAGCTGTTTAGTGCACGACAGACGTGACACAGAATTTCGAACAAAGGTATGAACGCATTTGTTGTTTTGATTGGTGGTCACTGTGACGAAAGGTATACGCACACACATGTGCTGCCCGCCGCCGCCGCTGACATTCTCGTTGCCGTTCCCGCCGTTTCTTTTCGTAGGCGCATTGCTCTTCAGGAGTCCGAACTATACACGGCCTCCCCATTACGATGGGAGAAAACAAGTGAAATTGAAAATGGAGATTGGCGACCCAAGCTTCAAGGAGAACGCAGGGAATGGGTATTCCACGCGCCGCACGGACATGCCTTCCCCATATAAAAGATTCAAAGTAAATAACCAAAATAAAGCATTGACGAACGCACGTGCGAGATGTCATTTGTTTTAGACTTTTGCTTAGAACAGTTACTGCTGCAGACGCCCGTACATGTGGCATGTGGGTGCGGTGCGAACGTAGAGTTTTTGGTCACGCACACGAAATATCCACGGAACCCTAGCCATAAACAGCTTCTCTGTAAAAAAAAAGTTGGGCTTTTCTTTTGTATAGTATGAAAGTTCAGAAATAAAATGTTTTCGTCCGCAGCCTGCTATAGACGAGCCTACCACCTACCCATAGTGTGTGGCATGAGTATCTGCACTGAACATGTCCGGTAGCTTTATGGTTTTAGAAATGCGTCACTGTGCATGCGTAGTGCCCGCGCTCATGTCACTTGCTCGTAAAACATTTTGCTCGTCTATAAACAGCTGCTCATTGTCGTCACGACACAGGATGCCGTAGTCCATAAGATGGCCATCTTGTGTCGGATAATTGCAAACTGGACAAGACAGGCACCGCATATTTTGTCACGATGCATGTCAGGGAGAGGCATTGAGACAAAAAAGTGTAGAATAACCAACCGAGAATCTTTGGAGGCAAAACGATAAGTTTGCTCTTGTGGAACATCACTACTGGTACCAAAAACTTTCACTTGAGTGAACTTCAAGGGACCTAAGGAAATAGTTGACTTAACTGAAAGTTCACTAAACTGAACATATTCACTAGAATATGGAAGAGCATAGGGCACAGTATACATTGAGTCAAAAGTGTGAAATGCAATTTATGGAGTCATGTACAGTGGCCCAATTTTTTTATAATACCAAGCGAGCGTCGACTGCTGGGACGGCCAGCGCCGTGCCGCGGAGGAGTGCGACGATACGGGAGAGATTAAGCGCGTGCGCACAGATCCCTTTCTGGTGGGAGCATTGTCTGCTAGGCTATTCCATTGATCGCACACAGCCCCTGCTCCGCAGCAAAGGCGGGCAGGGCACTTGCAATGTTGAAGTGCATCGCCGATATGGCCCTCCTCTTGGAAGGCGTTCACAGTCCTATTGACTTTAGCCAGTGTAACCCCGACTGCGGTTGCTATATCCCCTTGCGTCATGCCGCTCATCGACATTCTCACCGCAGGTTCCCATGTTTTTATGGGCACTCGAGGAGGCATAAAAATGTGCGCGCGCTTGCTGGCCAGAGAAAAGTGTGACTAAGTTGCTCCATGAGCTAGATGACGACAGCAACAACGCAGTTGATACTACAAAACACCAAGCGGAAACCCTGTCTATACTCCGTTTCACTATGTGTTGTACTGCAGCCGACGCTAGCAGCCATCTTGGCCAGTCCATCGCTAAAAGTGTCACGTGGCCTTCCCGTTGGGTACAACTGCATGGAGAAGCACGATGTCACGTGGCTGGGCAAAAGCACTGGATTGGTTTTGATGGCCCGTAGCATTGTTTGCGGTATAGAGTTTAATGCGTCGTTGCATTCAGTTTTTCGCGTCACCGTATTTCTATTTTTGTTGATGTGCAAATGTAAACACAAACATGAAATGAAAAAAAAAAAAAAAAAAGAGAAAATTAAATTTGATATGACGCGCGGTTTATGCCACACCTGAGCAGTATCACGCGGGCAAGCGCTGTTCAGATTTTTGCTTAAAGGCGGTTAGCTATGCCAGTAGATAATGAACAGGGGCCGAGCGCGGGCAACGGAATAGCCTAGCAGACGACGCTCGGAACGGAAATAGCTTTGTGCGCGGGCGCCTAAATTCTGCCGTGACGCTGCATTTTTCCGCGGCACAGCGCTAGCCGTCCCGGCGGTCGACGCTCGCTTGATATTATTAAAATAATTGGGCCACTGTGAATCGATATATGAATCTTGTCAACTGGTTGTGCTGTTCTTATGCAAGGTCATACTTTAACTACCCTTTTGGGGACTGGAAGCACCTGGGGCACTTGTCATGTGTACCGAATTGAATCCTTCCTTTTATCCCTTTGTTTGGTTTTTTATCCACCACATGGGAGTGCCTTTGTTGCATTCTTTGTCCCCTAACATGTCCCACCTCTTTTCTTTCTCTTCTCTCTGCCCTCACACCTCACAGATGCAGCCGCTTCGAGTCTGAAATCAGCCGCCTGAGGATACTCAAGCCAGTGCGAGTCTGCCAAACCTGCTTCAACTCCCTGAAGACCTCCGGGGAGGCCTGAGTGGGGAGGAGGCGGTTTTCTAGTCAGACATATCCATGGACATTCCGTAGCCGGTGTGTGTACAGTAGCGGCAGCGCCCTCCCCCCTGCCCTCGTCATGTACATACTGTTAATGTAAATATTGTGTCGTGCCGTGTGATTTCTAAGTGTCTGTAGCGGGCCCATCCCACACCAACTCGGTACACCGACCGTGTAGGACGCTTTGCGAGACTATTTCACGGAGAACACGAACCAGAATAGGCTTCCTGTCACTACCAGGTGTTTATTGCAGGTTGTGTACCACCAAAGTACTATACATATATATATAAATAAATGCAGAGTATATATGAAGTAAGCAATACTTACAAACTGCTCCCTTCCGGTCGCAAGAATGCCAGGAGTTCACTAGAACGACGATAGTCATAGGTTTGCCGTGCATAAACTGCGAGCGCTTGGGGGTGCGCGGTCAAAGGAGGCTTGGAAAACAAACAGTTTCACCTCTTTTCCTTTTAGAAGCAGAGTTGGTCAACAAGACGTAGGTTTGTCTGTCCCTCAGTGTCGGATTCTGACTCGACACAACCATGCTGTGTTTTTGAAACCTGCTTGTTTTTTAAAACAGATTAATAAACATGGCACTGTTTGTTTTCCATATCTTGTCACAATTTGAACATTACTTGCTGCAATTTCACACTTTAGCGAGAGAGAGAACTATGATTGGTGGAGAGTTCGGCAGGCCTTAAAGGGCAACTCCACTTCATTTTTTATATTGAGAAAACTATACAGCCCTCTTCAGTATCATATAGAAAGACCACATGTCAAATATTATGATCTAATTCCGTCTCTGCCTTTAATAAACTGGCCAGCAAACTTTCAAATGAGCCAAGTCGCCGAAATTTGCTAACTCTAGCGTGCGACGTGAGGCATAACCAACGGCGCAGTCAACACCAGAGAGTTGGAGCAGCCAACATTCAGCCACTGCGTCATGTCTGCGTCACTCTAATGTTTTGTTTGCTTTTACTTCTCAAAGCGAAATTGAACAATGACGTCAAGTTTCTCCTCCCAGTGCTGGCTCAACGGTGTCCACATGATCACCGTAACGCAGATGCGCTAGTTTGCCCTGCCCTGGCGCCTCTCGGAGCCGAGAGCTGGGAGCAGTCTGTTTCGCCTCGCCGCTGTTGTAGTTTGAGAATGACGTTTTATTTGCAATGCAGGCGCGGGCCACATCTTCGATGCCTAGCTGCGATGCCTGACGAAAGATCCATAGGCTTATGATGTTATGTAGCTGCCTTCTCGAACTACCAGTTGACCAGCCCGGGAGTTGTCTTTCACAAGCTTCCACACGAAGGTGCGCATATCAATGTATGGACGGACATTCCATGCCGGTGAAACTCGGGGAAGCTGTGGTCGCCAAATCGCAGAACAATGATATGTTCCGATTGCTTGTGCTCATGACACTAATTAATTTGCTGTTACCAACTAAATAGAGAAACGTGCGTGAAAAGATAAGTTCCGCTGTGAAACCAAATGAATAGGCACTGGAGCATACTTATCACGCCATTCATAATTTTCGCTGACCATTTCGCTATTGACAATAAATGTGTAGTCTGCCGTACAGTCCATAAAGGTACAGAATTCAGGCTACTAAAGCAGGAGACTCATGCATGGTCAAACGACCACCGCATCGGTAGCACAACACATCGGGCGTTTCCCGGTGTATGAGCATATAGTATGTCTCGCACCTGTAGAAACCAAGCGCAAAAACTCAGCTGTTTTCGGTAAAATAAATGTGAAGGTTGAGCTTCATGTGCCAGACCTATGAAGTGCATCTGGCACGCCCAAGCGGAAGCCTGATGATTAATTTGGACCACCTGGGGATCTTGTGACGTTACACGTCACGAGATCCCCAGGTGGTCTAGGTATGTTCCCGTCATTTCGCCTCAAAGGCGAAATGACGAGAACATACCTAGACAAAGTTGATGCTACCCGAACGCCTGATTGCCTCCAATCAAATAACTCGCAAATTCTTACCGGTGTAGGTATCTTCCCAGTATTGAAACCATGGTCGCGATCACAACGGTTCAATTCACAGAGCAGTGGGGCCGCTTTTACGGGAATCATCTTTATTCGGCATCAACACGGGCCAAGAGAGAAATCGAGCCAGATCAATAAAAATAGTTGATATGGGACGCTAGGCTTGGGCCACTCCTGCTACAAGAACAGGCATCCGCACAGCACTTCCGAAGGCGTGTCCTAGCGACAGTTGTTTGTTGCAAACTACGCCAGTTGAGATCTTCCTCTGTGAAGTTAAAACCACTTGCACTCATAAAAAATGACGAGCTTCGCTCGTTCAGCACTCTGCAGACGCCGGCAGCCACACTTGTTAACGTTTCAAACCAAAGTGGGAGAAGCAGTCTCAGAATACATTTGAAAACATTAACGACTATCTTGATTATTTGTTTCTCAAACATAAAAAAATAGTCAATTAAAATACTATTACAGCTAGGAGATACAAATTTACAACCAACCTTTCACACGTCAGTCATCTCTTCAGCCAATGAGAGATGTAAGCACCTTGTAAGCACGGGGCGGGGCTTAGCGGGCTGCAACCTCTCCTTTTTGCACCTAAATTGTGTCTAACAATGTAAATATTGAGCTATATTTTGTTGTTTTTTTCGTGCAAAATTATTTTTAAAATAATGTGTCCCATCTAGTATGCCCCTTAAAAAAAAAAGAAGCTTTTTCTTCCTTGCAGTGTCTCTTTAAGGGTTTAGTGATGAGGTATAGTACATAATCAAAATTTTACATGATGCATTAGCCTCAAGTGACACATTTAATAGTGTAGGCACACACTTTTTCGTAATGATGATTTCTGTGATAGAGGCCTCTGCTCTTAACATAGAGGGCTAAGAGTGCAAGCTTTTAGCTTTTTCAACTGCGTTCCAGCCCACGAGCCAGCACGCCAGATCAATGTCCTTCGAGGCTCCAGTCCGACGCCCGTAGCCTACGCTATGCTCCGAGGTTGGCCAAAATGCAGCTCGGGTTCACTCCTCTTCATAATGCACGTTGCAGTCGAATCTTGCTGCCAAACCTCACCCGACAACAATGTCTTCAGTATATACTGTAAGACTACTCGTCAGTAAGAGTGGAGTATTCGTGCCCACTAAAACTCCCCTTGACCATACCCAATCGAGCACACTTATTGGTACATGGCTTGCTCATGACGTCATCGCCATCGCCCCTCTAATTTTACCGTGCTGGTCGTCATTTCTACTTGTTCCTGCCGTGGAAAAGAAATTCAGTGGTGCGAAATATATGCCGAAGAAGGTATCAGTGCAAGAACAAGGTCTTTCACGATGGTCACTGATGTGACATCAGTGCAAGCTATGTATAGTGTCGTGCAAACTCCAATTGTTTTTGTTTTTTTTTCTTTGTTTTTTTTACGGCGACTGTTGTTAGGGGGGACCTTGCCGGGGAATTGCGTGATTGTCCTTCGCAGGAACTCCCGGTGCCTCGAGCATCCATGCACAGCCAGAGTAAGCGTCGAAAAGCAATGAACGTGCTGGACGCAAGGCGCGCGAAAGAGATGCCACCCTCGCTTTGATAGGGAGTGTAACCGAAGCCCCATTGTGCTGTTGCATGCATACGATCATCCGATCAGACGAACTTGCACGCGGTATTCCCGGAAAGTTTGTACTAGCAATTCTGAAGACACCGCGACTTTCAGTTACGGCGTGCCGAGGAGGCTCTTTGGAGATGGTGTATGGGACGAGCACAGGAGTGTAATCAAGAGCAAAAGTGAAAATGGCATGAAAATCCTCAGATACATACTCGGGAAGACGTGTAGAAACAAGAACATCACAATGACTGCAAATTGCGCGAGCGCTGAGCTGCTGTCACTGCGACACATGTTACGCGATAGCATAAATGCACTGGGTTTTTTTTTCCACATTTCTCGGCCGTTAAATTGAGGAGTCAACGTGTCCACACACCTACAGTTACCTGGTAGTTACTGCAATGCATTTCGCGGCATCCTATAGCAAGTTTGCCCCATTCTTTAAAGGCCATTTGAATTTCCCAAACTATTTTTAGAGCACAGCTTTTAGACACCTATTTCTGGGTTGAGCAGCGTCGCCGTCGCCATTGGTGTAATTGCGCGTTGCATTGTGGGGCCTTTCCCATAATGACGTCGGAAGGGTAAAATTTTCCCGCTAAATTTGGTGAGAAATTTTTCCGCTAAATTTAACGTAAAACTTTTCCCACAGGAAAAATTTCTGACAAATTTAGCCGGAAAATTTTTCCTTTGTGATGTCACACGTGACACCACCCAACACGGGAAAATTTTTCTGCTTAACTTAGCAAGGAAATTTTCCCTCTAAACTCGCACGTGACCTCACATCTGACGTCACACGTGACCCTCCCCTCCTCAAGAGCTGCGCTGTAATTCGGCATAACATAGAATTGTAAACTTCTTTCATTTTTCATTTCCACTACAAACCCATCTTTCTCAAGGCACTATTTTACATACCTTGCTGGACCATGTGGAAGTGAAATATCTCTAAACAATTCAACAAACCGAACTGGCGTCTGGCAGCGTTATGTGGAGCCAGACATTGCTTTCAGCCTGCTGCCAACACTGTTGCCGCACCTTTTCTAATCACCCTGCAGCCTAGACTGCTAGTAGCTGCATGCCAAAGGTCAAGAAGAAATTGGGGGAAAAACTTGGCAGAGTGTAAACGTGAGCAAAGACTATGCTACATCGATCTCTCTCTCGCTTCGCATGTATGAACACCCTAGCAGTCAAGCGGTGCCACTGAGATGTGACAACGGTTCCCATACTGCCGAAAGCCCCTCGATGCATTTGCGTTTGTTGCGCGAGTAGCTTCAAATGCGCCATTGCACGCATTGCACGAGATCCGTGGCTCCTGCGGCTCTTGGAAGCATATGGTGTAGCAACTCTCACTCGTGGCATGCTTGCCCTCTCACAACAACGAGTGTCGGTACTCGTAAGAAATGTGAGGCGTGACTTTTAACGGGGGGAGGGCTTTAGGACTGCGTGCACCACACGTGCGGTACTCCGTAAAATGCCTTTCTTTTAGATGATGCTCGGTCACCTCGGTTAAGAAGGTGCCACAGGCTCTGCGTAACTCGTTAAACTCTCATACTCTCTCTTGTGTTTGAAAAGAGGGACCTCCCTCCGGGGATGCCTAGAGACTGAGAGCCTACATTTCGCTAATGCCGTCTCCTATGGTCACTGACAGAACGAGAGCGGCAGGGTGAGTCTTTCGAACAGTCGGCCTCCAGCGTACGCTCCTTCCACTGCGCTTTGACTGCACATGCACACACGAAGTGCGCAGGACGCCCAAGCATTGTCCAAGGCAGGATGCTCGCGCTGGTGGGACAACTGAAAGTTCTTCCTCGCCGTTCTCCCCTGCAAAACGTTGGTTGCGAGTCCAGAGCTTCCCAGGAAGTCTTTCGAAGCTTCACGGGAGGTTTTTTTTTGGTGTGTTGACATGTTCTAGCCTGGGATGTAGCCTCAGTAAAGTGTGCAGCACAGAACGTGCAATTAGTAACTCCCCTTGAAGTGGGTACTTTCCTCGGTGTGCACTCAATGGCAGTAAAGCCAACTTCACATACTATGGGGGCTCTTGTTTGCGGGCTTCCTGCACCACCAAAGCGGTTCAGCGGCGACAACAGTGGGCAGCGGGTGCAGCGATCTGTAGAAGGAGGAGCGAGGGACGCAGCTGCAAAACAACGGCGCCGGGCCCAGCAGCAACGGGAACCTTGTTGCCATTATGCAGCGGCCGCCTGGCAGTTTAAGCGCCAGTTCCCAACCTATCCGTTCCATGTGGTGTAATGCGTGCAACAAACTGTGGTTTCGGTGAACGTAAGCAAGGGCGTTCTAAATTATATGCATTTCGAATGCTTTTGGAAAGTGCCCAAAAGGTAGCTAGGGTGACCACCCGTCCCGCACTGAGAGCTCGTGTCCCGCATCCTGCGAGAAATGCCCAAATCTTCAAAATGTCCCGCATTTCACACTGTCGTAAAATTCACTCCGCAACTCGTGGTGCTGCCGAACAACGGTGCACGGGTAAGCGCGGAGGTCGCTGGCAATCGTGAGAATCGAAATGGTACGCCATTTTCTATCCAAGCATTGCAATAAGCGACCGTCGTTCTTGCAGGAGAACCGACGCGCATGCACTGTTGTGGCTCTCCCTTTGGTGGCAAAATATTGTAAACAAAAATTGCTCACCAAAAGTTTAAATATAAAATATTGTAATTATTTTCAAATTGCTCTGTCTCTGTCAATGCGAAAGGGTTGCTGTGGATTTTTTTTTTTTTTTTTTAGTGAAGACAGCCACATTTGCAAAAGTCGAAAAAGAACATAATGTTAAGAATTTGTGTAGGACCATGTTGATGAAAGTAAGCGACTTGACAGGAAACAATAACCCGAAAGAGATATACTTTTTCTTATTTCCATTTAATGCATTAAAAAAAGTCAAAACGTTTATTTTTTAGCGGGACACTCGGCAGCAGCAGCAACCAACGCCTTTTGTTAGTTTCTTTCGTTCTGCCTCGCACACGTTCACGAGGCCATCGTAACTCGAGCACGCAAACGAGTGGTCACGTAACGTTTCGGAGAAGAACGGCCTGCTGTGGCTTGCACTGCATTCTGCACAAGGGGCACTCTTTCTTCGCCCTCAGCCAACCCGCGATGCAGTACCAACAGAAAACGTGCCCGCAGGGTATCACGGTGGGGCGCCTCGCACCGTCGACGCACATGCAGCAGCTATAGTTCGGCGAGCGCGCTTCGTCCACGTCGCCGTCCTCGGAAGCAGTCGTGAAACCGCGCACTTCCCGCGTTAGAGACACAACGAACTCGATGAGCGATAGCCAGCCTAGAACCTTGTAGCAGCGAGCTACCTGTGGATTGGACAACCACTTCCTTACCAACACGTATCTGATACCCGCTACCCTGTTCGCGGGACTGTGGTATCGACCGAGCAGGTAGAAGAGGATCAGGTGGATCTGCTGGCTTCTCCCGAGCACGGTCCGCAGGGCGTTTAGGTCGGCACCCCGCGCCCTCTTGAGCAAATTTAAGAGCGCGGACGTGAGCGCGCCGCCGAACGTGTGAAGCGCGACAGAGAGAGTCCGTCGGGAAACCGAAGGTATGCTCTTCAGCGACCGGTTTACTTGGAGAATGTGGACGTACTCTTCGCCGAGGGTCTGTAGACCGCTGAGGGTTGTGGCGCAGTAGTAGAGGAAGCTGGAGATGGAGTCGATTTCCGATCGCCACAGCATCCATCGCCGGATTCCGAGAGCTGATCGGGCGACCTCGGACACTTCCTTCTGAAGCGACGCGATGTGCTGCTCGTCTTTCTGGTGGGCACGGAGAATCTCTGGTTGGAGCGCAGGTTCGAAACGGGACATTTTGCGTCGTCTTGTTTTTCGCAGCCTCTTGATTCGAGGAAATGGTCTTACCAAGTAATTAAAGTAGTGCGATCATTGCCATGCAGACGCACAGACGCATTTCAGATTGGATTGGATCAAAACGGAGTTATAAGGATTACACAGTGGATTACTCCTAAAAAGTTCCGGAAGTCGCACCGTCGATGGTTTTTTGTTTTCGGATTACAAAGATGGGCTTATTTTAATTTTCCTTCTTTTGGGGGGAAACTTTGAAAACGATACGGTTTTGAGAATTATTTGTGTTTTTAGACAATGGGCGCGTTAAGTTAACGCGCTCGAGCGCGCTCCAGCGGTCAGAGTGCACTCGAGCTAAACTAATAGCGAGTTCGTTTCACACCAGGGGGGGGAAGGAGGGAAAGGGAACGCGGCGCAAAGCGGAGGCTGCCATATTAAAACCGCTTACGTTGCCAGCATAGGTTTTGCAGCGGAGAAGTTGCTGCCATATACGACGGACTGAGTTTTACTTTCTTTTTCGTTTTGGAACGAGAATGTATTGTTGTGTTACATAAGTCCTTCTGCATACAGAAAATAAATTTGAATTATATTTGTCTTGTTTACTTGGTTTGAAACCCTAGAAACGGGTTTTTGACGACTTATTGCTCTCATCATTTTGGAGTACGCAAGGCAGTTATCTCGCTGTTCTGGTTTCGGTTACGAAAGCAAGGCAAAACGCCGTAGTTCCCGCCCTCAATACAGGTTGGACACCTTCCACACTTTGACACCGGATAACTGTGTGAACAAGGATTTACATTTACTTCAGAGGTAACTTTCGCCGCTTCCTCACCGTCGAGCAGCCGGATCAGCTGGCGGCAAGCCGCGGATGAAAGGCTTGAGCATCAACAGCCTAGAGCCACTACAACAGCCCAAGTGCACTAAAAGCCGATGCGGGCGACGCGGGCTTCTGTCAACCCAGCGGCGGGCCCAAGAGGGGGGCGACGAAGCGGCCGCCCCCCCCCCCCCCCCCCCCCCGCCCCCCCTGCCCCCTTCTGGGAGGCCGATTTGACATGGGTGGATCCCCCGAAATAACACCAACCACCGGCCTGCCAGGTGGTAGGAGGCTCGGTACTCAAGGACGAGGGTTTGAAATAGGGTAGGCCGCACCCTAGCAGGCACACTTGTACTCTGAACTTGGAGAACCACTCCGTCGCTTCAACCGAGATTGAAGTCCGCGGCGGCGGTTTCAAAGCACGGCTTAAAACCAAAGTCGGCGCAGCGGCGCACATCTAGGGGCCGTCGGTGCACTGTGGTTCTGCGGCGGTTAAAACAAAAGGCGCAACCCGAGTCCTGTCTATCTTGCTTTAGATTTTCCCTCCCCCCCCCCTCCACCCCCCCCCCCCCCCCCCCAAAAAAAAAAGAAAAAAAAAAAAAAAAAAAACGGAGTTCTGGATCTGCCTTTGGGTCAACCGGTAGCCCAGCACAATCCGTGAATGTTCCAGCTCTTCGCCATGACACGGTGTTGCAGAAAGCAGGGTAAAATACAACTACAGGGACCACCGAATCAAATGCACTGTTATCGTAAATATTGGCTTGTGATTGCGCCTTTGTAGATCATCTTATTCGTTTTGCTGGAGAGACGCAACCGACGGGCGTAACAAAATCGTTTGTGTATTCCGCATACCTCGCAAAAGCACTTACCCAGTCACCTTGCGAAAAGCGCGAAACACGGAGTCCGTTTTAGAGCAGTTTGTACCTGCTAGTAGGCATGTCTACTGAAACTGCAACTTGAAACTAGGGGCAATGCCAGAGAGAAAAGAGACAAAGTTGGGAAAGCATGTACGCTCTCTCCAATTTCTGAACTCTCAAGTGATTGTACCATAATAAATTCCCCAACACCTCTTTCCAAAATAAAGGAAAAACGCTATGTTCACTACGTAAAAAAATGGTCTCAGTTCATGCATCCGCAGGCAGGTAAGAAATGTTGCCCTAATTTATTCACACCACATGACGAGCCCAACAAACTCACACGAGATTTACAAGAAAATATCGGTGGTGACGAAATTCTGTATGACCGGTCGTTTGCAGGACCGAATCATCTACTCGGGCGGTGTGCGTCGCTGTGCAAACGCCAACATCACGAAGCATAAAAACGGCAGGTCTAGGACAACAATCCGGAGTCCATTGTTCAATTAAAACGACGCAATTTTGTTGAAAACGCCCGCAGCTTTTTACTCACGGTATGCGTCGAGAATCTTCCACATTTTGAAACGGAACAAAGGAAGATTTACTTTTAAAAGCGCTCACTGCGTCCTCCCGGACCAGCTGGACCGGATCAGCTGACGACGACGGGCCTGAAACCGCTGAATTTAAACCCCACAATAACCAATTTGCGCTTCGTGTTAGTATGGGCCTCTACCTCCAAGCACCGCACCACTGACCACGAACGTTTCAACTCTTTGCCGCATCGCCGTGTTGCACCAAACCTATCTCTATGCACCAAACAGAACGAGATCGCCGAAGTCGACGGAGCGCTGTCGTGAACCTTGGCTTGTGGTTGCGCACTCGTGGACCCTGTCACTCCCTTCGCTTTCAAAGCACACACGACGATTACGAATGATACGTTCCGTCTTCCGGGACCATCAAGGGGCACTTCTCCGGTCACGTCTTCGCTACATGTGCTCGAAAACCACGTCAAACGTGGTCAAACCGAAGCTGCCGAAGCAATACCGGCGCCATGTTGAACGTGTGTTGTTGCTAGACTTTCTCCGACCAAACAAAAACAACGAAAGCAAACCGGTTCTAGCTTCCAGCGTACATCGGCGTTGCACCGTGGCCAGATTTTCTCCGTCAGCTCTAACTTAAAGATGACCTACAGATGCAGCAACACTGGTATCAAGTTTTAACATGGCGGCCCCCACGGAGCGCCGTAAATTCTGAGGAGGGTGCATTGGAAGCGGCGGCACCTTCCCCCCCCTGTTTCACACGCACTGGCACCGTTCGAGTTCTCTCCCAGAATGCATCGCACTCACAGAGTGTTGCACGGAAAACTGGACTCAAACGAACTCGCCAAATGCACCGAGTGCAGAAGACTGACGCTGCCGCCATCTATGTTGTAGAAAAGGTACCAACTTCAAACCGAAACTAGAGCCTTTGTGTTCGTAGTGATGCGTGGGAATGCGAGAATGCAGTCGCTACCAACGTTTATCTACAAACGTTGGTCGCTGCAACCTGTAGTTTATAGTTGCGATGACTTCAAGCAGCTAGGCTGCCGTAGAGATAATTACAGACGGCGTAAATTTCCGCAACCAGCTGTCTACAAAGCAGCTGGTCGCGATCTTTCAATTCTTATAACCATTTACACTGAAGAAAACTGATGATGCTGTCCGAGCGGAAGCTTGATCCGTTTGAGCATGGTGTTATTCGTGAACCACTGAAAGTGTACGGCTTAAAACTAGCCTGTTGGAATATCCAGCAAAACTGGGACTTTCGATTTGGATCGTCAAAATTAGATATTAGCTTTGGTGAGGGCGTCGAGAACGAGAGCTTTCTCGAACAGAATATGACGGGGCAAGTTAGCTGACGTAGGTAAACGTTAAACATGATGATGTTGCCCAATCCTCGGGTAAAGTCTCCATCTTTAGCTTTCTCTGATGCTTATTGGGCAGTCAGAGGTTTCTGCTGGGGTAGTTTTGTCGACAAATGTTAAATTTTTCACCCGCACACGGATGGTGATAGACATCTGGGGGGCCGCTGTTGCGTTTGTTCTGAGCATTTCTTTACACGCTGGTATACGCCTCGCAAGTGGGCTCATTTTCGTCTTCTGCGCATGAGAAAGGAAGTAGTGGTGACGTCAGAACGCCGAGCCCTGATTGGCTGATCGCGACCCCCTATCTCAGCGTCGTCTGCTCCTTTGCAACGTCGTGTGCTCGCAACATCGTCTGCGTCTGTCTTACCTTTCCTGCGGCTTTCGGAGGGCAGACGAAATAACTCGAGCGGTACGTTGTTTTTGTTTAACAACTAGCAGACGCGCATCAAGGAGAGAAGTCAAAGGACTCACTGGCGAGGTGTCCCGGGGCGCCGAGGTTTGTTTGCTTAGAACCGAGAGTGAAGCGTGTTAGTGTCCGCAAGGTCCATCCCAAATACTTTTTCCCTCCATTCGTGTGCGGCGAGACCCCTCACTCTTAACGGCGTCGGCGGGTTGGCGCAGTTAACGTCGTCTGCTTTACGTCTGCTAGTCAAAGCGATGGCTGCTTTACCTTTCCTGCGTCTGTCGGAGATTCACCGCTTTTTCACCGGCGAGTCACCGTTGCCTCGGGAAACAAGGAGATAACAGGAGGAAGAAATTGACCATTTAATCTAATATTGAGGTCAGCGATCAAAGTATAACACGGGAAGGGTTCACAAGGGTCGCGCGTGCATATTCCATTCAGCACGTCAGCCGGTCGTGGGCAGACGGTCGCCGAGTCGCGGAGTGCCTGCTAGGCCTAACTGCCCAGCTCGTTTGGTCGCGTTCGGTCGAATCGGGGCCGTTGGAGCTTTTCCCCGGTGTTTGTGGATCCAGCGTTCTTGTTCATCGTGCTCTGTTTCAAGTAATTTTTACTTTTTTCTTGCTGCTTGAAGTCAGGACGCGTCAGAAGCTCACGTAGAAAAATAAACGTCCGTGGGCCGTCGCGACCGCGACGCTGTCGGCCATGCTGAGTTGAGCTGTCGTATTCGCCGTAACCTGCGCAAAACTTACGAAAATTTCGTTTCGCAAATACGAAGAATGTTCTTAAGTTTTGTCTTACGCGTATTTTTAGCGTGAGATTGTTTCGTAAATCTGTCCTCTGCACTTCCGAAAGTCGCAGGAAGGGTAAGACAGACGCAAACGACGTTGCGAGCAGACGACGTTGCAAAGGAGCAGACGACGCTCAGATAGGGGGGCGCGATCAGCCAATCAGGACTCGGTGTTCTGACGTCACCGCTACCCCCTGCGCAAGAAGCAGACGAACTTGCCCTCCGCTAGAGCGATTTAAAACCTGCAAATAAATCACGGGTTGTCAATTGCTTCCTTCCTGAAATAGCAGACACTCACAATTCAAGCTCGCGTTTGATTTCGTTGCCCGCGGGACGCGATTTCTATCAAAAAATCTTCACTTTTT